GTTTTTTAAAAAAATCCTGTTGATAAACAAGTCCATCTCCCCCCCCCCTTCCCCTCCTTTTCATTAACAACAACTCCAAAATAAAGGTTACTTGATTTATCTAGAATTTCTAGTAAATTACCAACCTAACCTAACCTAACCTAACCTACCCTACCCTAACCTAACCTAACCTAACCTAACCTAACCTAACCTAACCTAACCTAACCTAACCTAACCTAACCTAACCTAACCTAACCTAACCTAACCTAACCTAACCTAACCAAACCTAACCTAACCTAACCTATTACTATTACATATCAACGCGTGCGTATTTTCTTATTTTTAATGCAATTAAATTAATTTTAATGTGTTTACAGTATATCTATGCATATTTTATTTCGATTTGTTTTTGAAAACAAAATATGTGTATTTTGTACAAACAACGTTACTGTAAACATTATTGTAATGTAGGCTACGCTTCTTAATATAGATTTTCTCTGGAAGTTCCAAAGGCCACACGACTTGTCCTATACTTGAGCAACAATTACATTTGTGCATTCATTTCTACAATAATATTTGTTGAACTCGGGCTATGAATCACATCCATAAACAAACACACAACACATTGTTTGTGCCAAAAACTCGCTGGTGACGTGTCGATTTATGTGTGCATGTGTCATAATAAACTGCGATGGCCATAAAAGGCATCCATATTTTGAGAGTTAGATTTAACATAAGCCTTATTTATGGGTTTCAATGTAGGAATCGTACCATTAGAATCCAGACTGAAGGGACCCTACGGGTGTGATTGAAACATCTTAGTTGAGAGGAGCGTGTTGGTGTTATATGAGATGGGGTGTAGGTTTAGAACCATTTTATATAACGTTTCATAGTTTCAATCATTCATCCCTGGAAAAAAAAACTAACCAAGAAATGCCTGTAAATGAATTCCTCTAATGCCTAGAATCATTGGATAGACACAACCAGTGGCGTAGCCAGGATCGTCTCAAGGGGGGGGGGGGGGGGGGGTCCAATTTTTACCCGGGGACAAACTTTCGTTTTGCACCCCCCTCAAACTTTCGATTTGCGCCCCCCTCCAACTTTCGATTTGCACCCCCTCATACTTTTTCTATATACCGAGGGGTCTATGGGGGGGGTATGACCCCCACTAACCCCCCTGCCTACGCCACTGGACACAACTAGTCTAGGTTTAATGTTTTATAAACACGTAATATTAAAAGGGCTTTATCATTGTTCTATTTTTAATTGGTTGGTTGGGGGGGGGGGGGGGGTCGTGGAGTGAGGGGATTCCCCGAATTGTTCTCTTCCAACACGTAACGGATCTTCTAAGAAAAAGTTAAATAATGTTTAATGGGGCAGGTGGTGGGTCTGGCCGAAATGCCACATTGTTATTTTTTTTATTTGCGGATTCTTAATTATACATGAGGGTAAAGGGTTATCCAAAGCAGCCGTTAATGATTATTTACTTTAAGCCAACCTTTGCCCCCAGGAAGTAAATATCACACGTCGCGATAACCGCCCTTTCATTTCAAATGAAATGTTCCCGACACTCTTGGGTAAAAAAGATAAGAATGTTTTTTATTTTTTTTGCAAGAACGTGAGCTGAGTATCTCGTACATACTGTATCACTCCGCGCCTGATTTACTCTCTTACCCCCTAGCTTAGGCCTACAAAACATTTCTCAATTTCAGCTAAAAATAAAGTAGACCACGATTGGTTATTAAAATTGTCAACAAAAACCCTCCAACCCAAAACGGCGTCCAACATGATCTAACACTATCCTATTAGATCTACGTCACCAAGCTCTAAATGTCAAACGTTGAACATTGCAGCAATCTTGATGCTCCTCGTTCCATAGTAATATAACTCGAATTTATTTTATTATGCAGTTGGATCACTTTGGATATTTATGCACCTCATAAGCAAAAAAAAAAAAAAAAAAAAAAACACGTACTGATTTTATTACTTACACGATATTCCACATCATCGCAACTTGAATGTTGGCGATGTGAATCAAAATGTCCTTATTTTAAAGTGGACTCGGGTTTAAGGGGTGTTGAGGTGGGTGGGGGTGGGGGGAGTTGGGAGAGGAAATGTGTATCCAAAGTATCATCAATAACCAGCCAACTAGGTTAACATTGGTAACATCCACGGGTGTCTACAGACACACGGGATGGGGCGGTGTAGTCAGATAGTAGGGCCTACGAGTGATAACCGGAAAGTCTTGATTTCGAATCCCGAGTCCGAACAACACCGAATCCGTCCACCTCTGTTGGGTACCAGGCTCACATTAGGAAAAATAATGGCCGTTGGGCCTAGTTCTCACCATAATATCCTTACATATGCCGAGGTCACAAAAGCCCCATGTGTCGTCAGTTTTGAAGGTTACCCTACGTACTTTTACATACAGGCGCATGGGATATATATATATTATATATATATATATATATATATATATATATATATATATATATATATATATATATATATATATATATATAGGTATGTATATATGTATATACACTCGGGGGTTTATTTTTCCGAACTCTTGATATGTAGTTATGAGGGTAGACTACGACCAAATGATTTATGTCCATGGAGATCCGTCAGGGCTGAATAGACGACAACATCCTTATAATTAAAGAACGATAGAAAACAGTTACATTATAAAAATAATCCACACTATGAACACATAAGACAACTCTTTACACACCCACACAGTACCACCAGGCAACCCGATACTATAGTAAAAACTGGATTATCTCCCTTTTAAAAACCCTAAAGAAAAATGGACCCCACCAGGAGACGTGAAGGGGTGGTAAAGTTCCCCTTCGAAACCTGACGGTCTTTGGGGCAAGTGAAGTAAGTTCACATGTTTCTGTGTCCTCGACATGTGAAGGGATAGTGTGGTCAGCACTATGCCCAGCCGCCTTTATGAAGAGATAGTGTGGTCAGTACTATGCCCCGCCGCCTTTACTTTCCCTAACGTGAGTTAGGTACCCATCAGAGCTGGGTAGACTCAGGATGGGTCTACTGGCTTGAACCCGGATTCGAACTCGAGACTTACGGGTTAGCATTGAAGGGGTGGACCTGAGCTTTATTTGTGTAATCTATGAAGTAATAAGGCCCCTACTATAATTATTACCAGTTGGCCTACTAAACTTTGTAAACTCATAAAAATTATAACTAACGTCCGTATAAAATGGAAAGACTTTCAGTGAAACCTATTTTTTGGGTCCTCGCTAAGCAGTTCTAAATGTAGGTCGTCCAAAAACATCATACCGTGAGTAGAAGAGGGGGGGGGGGGGAGAGGGAGGAGAGGGCTGGAACATACACTAATGAAAGGGGACACTACTCTTGGAACAGATGGAGAACCGAGATCTCCCCTCTAGCAGAGTACAATACAAATATGACATACGACGTCAGGACTGGTGCCGTTTTGTATCAACCCCCACCGCGCCCCATCCCACATATATAGACCCATATATATATATATATATATATATATATATATATATATATATATATATATATATATATATATATATACTGTGTGTGTATTTTTGTAAGCTTAAGAAGAAAAAAGCTAAGAAGATACCCAGACTATACATTACAACTTGCACCTTATTTCTCAGGTTCATCAAGTTAAAATTAACCTTATATTTAAAAAAAAAATTAACCCAAATTTATAAAATATTTTACTCCTTCCTCTCCCTATCCCGTATAACGTTCTATATTATTCTTTCTGTAGACCAACAACCATCATATTATGTACAGTTTTCATAACCATGAAAGTGAAAGCGAGGCGCCACTAACCCCTTCTAAAAATAAATAAATGACTAAATTAGTAGGCAGCCTTACAATAAAAAATTCGCGATTTTAAAAATTATTATGGGAACCACATTTGAGAGATATTTCGCTTATGTCATCTCCATCAGGATCAACCAATTAAATTGTGCCTGACAGAGAGCGTGTCAGCCGACAGTGTCAGCTTATTCATCGAACCGCCTAAGTAGCAGACGTGGAGCAAAAATTTAGAATAAAAAGAATTCAAGGAATACAACATTGGCCTATACCAGCAACCTACCCCTATATAACACTCGTATGTGTTTTATATTGTATGCACGTTACCAAAACACCAAGGAGGTAGTACATGATACTTGCACACATTTTCAACAGGTAGTAATAAACTTAATGAGGTTTACTGTAATTAAACTTGAGTTTACCTACCCACATAACAACACAGGGCTTAATTAAGGAGCATTAAGCATTTCAACGAAAACTGCGCAATAACAATCTTTAGCTGTGGCGAAAACATCGAGGGGTATTGCGTTATGAATTTATCCCCCTCCCTAGATCCGCCCATGGGTATGCGATGATATCATATAAAGTAGTAGTACAAATAAAGGAATTTTATATACAGCTATAATATTTAAAAAAAAAACCCCACTACAACTTAGTAAAAAGAAAGTAGATTTGGTAATTGCATTAATCTATCTGAATTTTTTTTCTTCAAAGTAATCGATCAAGTAAAAGAAAGGAAAAAAAATCAATCAATTTGACTACACCAATGTGTATAAAGACATTATATAGTAACTTTGGAGGCTCGGATTGAACCGAGCATTGCTTATGATGTTAGAGATGGTGCTACAAGCAGCAGCCTAGTTCCGCTCGTGAGACCCAACTGATGTTTATTGACCTCACTGACCACTGACAAAACAACTGATGCCCTGTGAATCGTCATACGCACTCCTCCCCATCTCTCACAACCACCGGTCAATCTGCGCATCCTGTATGAGACAGTAAAAGCTTTTTTTTTTTAAAACCTTACCAACAGATAGCAACTTTGTTTCTTGGAAACAATAATTACACTTATTCAAACAGAAATAGAAAGTGGGTTATTTTTAGATTTTTGTAATGTAATAAAAGTGACTGGACACGAGGCGTAATTCTTCCTTTAAAAAAACCTCAGCGCGCCTCGCGTCTTTTGTATCGACTGCGCTATCGACTGAGCTGCCCGCCGAGAATCAAGAGCTGAGAGGGTTTGTCTGCATAATATATATAAGTGTATTAACGCGCCGCGTTTTACAGTTGATAGAGCGGGGCGAGACTCAGTGTTCATTCTTGAAGCACAATCAAAGAAGGAATTACAATATCTTTTCATTATATATTCGCAGCTAACTCGAATACAATTTTATTTTCAAAAACGGTTTGATAATTTTTCAAAGGACTACATTATCTACCGCATAACGCAGAAGAGCGGAAGTAGGAAGCGTTCTCAGTGTTAGTCTGCAAGTGAGAAAATAGGTCGTTCTAACGAAACGAATACAGACAGTATTTTCTACCGTGTGTCCCCCTGAATTACCCACCATTGTATGTTTTCTACTAACAACATGGATTTTGCGTATATTTTACTGGTGGCAGCTTTCTTTACGACATGTGCTGGTAAGTTCATCTTTTTGTTTTATGTTGATTATAGAATAATATAGAACAATAGCTTAGTTGAATCAGTGTATAATAAAAATAGCGTAGCTCTAGATCTAGATCTAGGAGCAGTGGCTTAGATTTTAGTTTTCTTCAACAAACGAGTGCTACGCAAAAAGAAAAAAAAAGGAACAAACACTTGACTAATTCAACGATAGTTCTAGACTTCTAGATCTAGATCTAGGTCTTCTTGTGGAACTTTTTAAATGTGTGTACAGTGACTCAACTCTGGCACTCCTAATTTTTTTTATAGGCCTATTTTAAAACTTCGTACTAGATAGAAAACATATTCTAAAAGGTGTCGCCCCCCCCTCCCTGCTGATAACAATGGAAAATTTAGGCCAAAACAAAATAGAGTATTGTCACATTTTAATTTGAAAAAAAAACAAAACAGGCGACATAACTTTAAAGTTATGACATCTAGATCTAGATCCAGGCCTATTAAAAAAAAACCAACCCAATTATATCACACACTGACACTGACAAAGTATTAAAAAGAAACCTAATTAGCCTAAATCAAATGCATTATCTGGATGTGTGCTTGATTTTATATTGAATTGTGTGAATTTATTTATAGGCTATCTATGTTAAAAAAAAAATTCCACTAGGATTATACTCCTTTTTATTTTCAAGGCTGTTAGGCCTATAGAGTAGATTAGTAGCCTATTTAGTATTTACAAAATATAATTAAAAGCCTCATTAGTACATTTGGCTACTACTCTCATAAGCTAAATCCCAGTACAACATGACCTTCTACATCCACCCACAAGCTAAATTCTGGTACTAAAAGGCCTTCAATATCCACTAACTATATTCTGGTACTAAAAGGCTTTATACAACCACAAGCTAAATTCTGGTACTGTAAGGCCTTCAATATCCACTAAATATATTCTGGTACTATAAGGCCTTCAATATCCACTAACATATTCTGGTACTAAAAGGCTTTTATACAACCACAAGCTAATTTCTGGTACTGTAAGGCCTTCAATATCCACTAACTATATTCTGGTACTAAAAGGCTTTTATACAACCACAAGCTAATTTCTGGTACTGTAAGGCCTTCAATATCCACTAACTATATTCTGGTACTAAAAGGCTTTATACAACCACAAGCTAATTTCTGGTACTGTAAGGCCCTCAATATCCACTAACTAAATTCTGGTACTAAATCGCTTTATACAACCACAATCTAAATTCTGGTACTGTAAGGCCTTCAATATCCACTAACTAAATTCTGGTACTATAAAGCTTTATACAACCACAAGCTAAATTCTATTACTTTAAGGCCTAATGTTAATTTAAGATAAACAAAGGTTTACATCATGTCATACTGTTTGTACTAAAGCCCAGTTGAGTAATGCATAGCCCAAGTTTTACAAAAAAATTAACCTTCTAGATCTAACCATAAATTCTCCACACAATACCCAGCTGTGTTGTTCACACATTTAAATACATTTCACTAATAGTTGACTGTGTAGAGACCCTTTATAGTATAGGCCTTAGTGTTTAGAATGATGGTCAATGTTGTTCAGTCCTGTTTTTTAGATTGCTAGACTGGTTTTTTCATTAAATAGTTGTTCCTTATGAGTAGTGTGACTGCCTGGCCATTTTTATCCCAATGTTGGTCTGTCAGTGGCCAAGTTTCCGAGTTTCTCCCAATGTTGGTCACTTAATACTCATGTTTCTCCCTAATTTCACACCTCAGGTTATCCCATTACACACTTTTTTGTTTACTATATCATATGTTATCAGATGCTCGTACACCCCGCTTGTTTTATTTTAACATAGAAATGTCCACAAAAGTAATCTACAAAGGTACCTATCCTACTGGTAGGTCCACTGTGTTACAGTGATAATAAGCCTTTAATGAAACCTGTGGAACCCTTACTCCAGTGACCCATCTATCTAAACATAGATCTATCTCTAAAATTTCTGCATAAGTATAAAAACAACATCTTTAAATTAATACATTTTTTGTGTTAATAGCCTGCTGTATTATAAACAAGATTAGTTAAATTAGAGGATAGGCTTACTTTCAGGTATTGAGGGAGTGAGTGAAATATTGTTTGTGGCGTTAAGTCTTAGTGTTCATATGGCCAAGGTGGGACCTTGAAGTGGGTTCTTCTGCTGCGTTGTCGACAATACTATGTTTTGATTGTCAGATACATTGTCGTTTACAGCAGAGTGAATTGTCAGCTATACGAGCATTAATTATCATATGTTAGAGTGACACTTCACATGCCTCGGGCCCATGAGTGACCCAAGTGTCCCTCACTTAACGCAAGCAAGTGGTTCATGTTTTGTAGGAAAGCTATCGCATCACATCATCGCTTTGTGTTTATACGAATTCATCTTGTTTTGGACTTTTTACAATTTTACTTAGTAAACACTTGTAAAGATGTTAATTTTAACGTCGCTGTGTTAAGTGTAGGAAGTTTTAAACAATTATTCAGTGGGTGTTGCCTGGTTTTGTTAGTTTTAATTTTTTTAGATTTTAGTTACGTGTTATTTAATATTAGTACTGATGTATAGATTAGAGTTGTAGGCATAAGACCTTGTACAGCTAATTTTATAGTCTTTTTAGTAATTTTAAGTATGCCTGGTTGATCAAGGCCTGATTTTTAAACATGAAAGCTATCAATACTAGTTTAGTATGCACAAGTTTTTGTGAAAAAATTTGGTATATGTCATAATCTACAGCGGTCAGTGTGTGGGTCATTGGTAAAAAAAACCCCCAACTTTACAGATAGGCAACAGTAATGAAGATGAATGCTTTATTGCAAGTAGAAACGACCTATTTCTTCTTTGTGACCCTTTTAGTTTGCCAATAGGCCCTTGTGACGAAGCAGTGGTTGCTTCTAATGATGTCATCATCCATTGTTGATTAACGTGATTCATTAATTCGTTGTGTCACAATTTCTTTTTTTCTGGCCTGAGTCATATTTACTGTTGATTTATTTCCTGTACGGAGTCTCTGTACTGCACGTTTTCTTAGTTCATGTAACTTCACTTGAAGTGGTGCCACCACAGAAATGAACAACTTTGACCTCAGCAGATGCATTTTTTATTTGGCCGGGTAGATCTGTCTGGAAGGGCAGCGGAGCTGTGTGTGCGGGTACATGCGCGCGTGACTCAAACGAAAATCAATAAAGCACACCAGCACCCTTTCATGTACGTCTGGCAGCGCACCGATGCAAAACCGTGCGCCCTTGTTTCCCTGGCCGCGCAGCACGCTGTTGGATTTTTGGTTGAGATCAGCATCCGTGAGGGTTTGCCGCTAATCGTACGAGCCGAGGCCCCGGCGATTGCCATTATTCTGCGAGGGCCAGTGCTGTCGCTCATCTGGAAATGAATGAAATCCAATACTTTTTCATGGCGCCCAAATGCAATGTGTCTCCCTTTTCTAGTTGCTATTGATATTTTTATTAGATAAACTCGATTCTCCTGTCTCCGCTCAGCCGAGACGAGACGGACATGCAGTTGAATGTTTTACACGTGCTTAATAAAATATGAACGGGCTTTTGTTTTCTGCTCTCAGGGAAAATCAGAACTATTTTTGGGTCTTTGTATTTTGTACGGTTGGTTTTTTAAATGTTTGCAATTACCCCATGCTGTGCCTAATTGTGGATACGTTTGGGCATAAATCAGTGAAACGCTCTTTTTTGTTTGGTTTGAAATTGACACACTAAATGATATTAACTGTTACATTCGATTATATATTATCCATTTTTCAACACTGCTGTGTGGTTTGTCTTGAGTTAGATATGTATCTGATAATTCAAGTTTTTAAAGCTATATGCCAGTCCTGATTCATAACGATTAACATCAGTATTCATTTTTACCCTCCTCCTCACCGTTTTCATTTAAAAGTGTTCAAACATTTTCACGTGTCTGTAACAATGGCAGCGCAACTCTTTTGACGTGCATAAATTTCAAAGCGGGCACCGTGCCAGATTGTCATGTAACCAAGGGGGAGAGGAAGGAGAAAGAAGAGGAAAAAAACCCAGAGACTGCAGGCTTCAACCAGCACACACTGGCATGTATTCCATTCTTCCACTCGGCAGCTCGCTCGGTGTCTGGTACCAATTAAAAGCTATCGATCGTCGCAGCCCTGCGTAACCCTTTGCGTTTCGGGCTAATATATTAAAATAGAAAAAAAAAAGAATCGATACTTTTCTCCCAGAATGCATCTACACATTGGGTCTTGAGATATTTTATTATAAAATGGAATCGATTACCACCAGAGCCTGCCTCCAACACGGGCGAGAGCGTATTTTAAACCGCGCGAGTCTCTTACTCGTCGACTCGTCATTTTGTCATTAGCGACTCGATGATTAAATAGCTACTTGTCTCCTCCGTTGTCATGGCTACGTACTTACATAATTATGGCGCGCAATATCGACGTGTTGTCACGTTTTCATTTCCCTAATTGGATGAAAGGTTTTTTTTCTTTCGGCTTCGTCTTGCTACTAATTTTTGATATACGAGATTTGAGGGGAAACTCTCCTCTGTAGTGAATTAATTACCAGTCGAAAGTCGATTTGCCCCGAGGTAGAGGTTGGGGGGGGGGGGGGGGGGGCAGACGACAAAATCGTTTAACCGTTAAACTTGTGCTCTTTACGAGTTATGGTGACATTAATAGATCCTCCCCACCCCCTTAGCTAGTCTTGAGTAGAATGCAGTGAAAAAGTAATATATTTCCGTGTTTACTTTGCTTACCCTTACCTAAACCCTACGTTGTAAACGCTTCTTTAAGCGCTATTCGTGTTAACTAGCCATCACTCGTTATAAATAGATGAAAAAAAAATGTCCCGTTAGAAAGTTAATTTAAATTTATCCTCCGCATTGCCTCTTCACTCTCGGAGCTATTGTAGACGTTATATAGCCCTCGGCGCCGCCTCGGAAATGAGCTATCGAGTCTTCTAATCGAAACAAAGAGAATAATTGATATATAAGCCTCA